TCTACTCAACATAGTCCTTGAAACTCCAGTCAGAGCAATTAGACAAAAGAAAAAAATTAAAGGGATCAAAATAGGAAAAGAAGAGCTCAAACTATTCCTATTTGCTGATGATATGGTTCTATATTTAGAAAACCCAAAAAACTCCACCAGAAAACTTCTAAAACTCATAAATGAATTCAGTAAAGTAGCAGGATATAAAATTAACCCCCATAAATCAATTATGCTCCTATACACCAATGATGAATCAATTGAATAGCCCAAAAATAATACTTGGAAATCAGTCTAACAAAAGAGGTAAAAGACATCTACAATGAAAACTACAGAACACTAAAGAAAGAAATTGAAGATAACCTTAGAAGATGTATTAGGATAGGCAGAATTAATACTACCTAATGGCCATACTACCCAAATACAGATTTAATGCAATTCCTATTAAAATTCCAATGACATTCTTCATAGAAATAGAAAAAGTAGTCTTGAAATTAATTTCATTCACTTTGATGTCTGTGAATTCAGTTGTTGGGGGCTTATAAATTTTTGGAGGTATCTCATTGGCTTATCTCATGTTTTCTGAGATCCTATATTTGTGTTATCATTGTGATGGAGTCTTCTTCCTCTTTTAAGTAAGGGCATTTTAATGAGCATCTATCTCTTTAAAGTAAGCCCTGGCTCAGAGTCTTTCTTACTGTCAACATTTTAACCAGTGCTAAGTTCAACCACCAGAACTGCTTTGAGAGGAGAGAGTAACCACCTACCAGTAAGAGTGGGTAATTTAACAGCAAGCCAAACTTAGTGCTAATGATCTCCACAACTTTACTAATCAATGAGAAAACTGGGTGAAAAAATAATACAGAAAGGCTGAAACATTAAGGATTAATGACAATATACTTAATAGTAAATTATATCATTAAGAGGGAAAAAAGAAAAAATGAGGAAAGAAAGAAGGATGAGAAGGGACGGTGATGGAGATGAGAAAGAAGAAAAGTGGTATTGAGAAAAAAATTTAATTGAAAGAATATATAAATTTAGTTGGAACCTTAAAAAAACCAATGAGGGAAGACTCAAGAAAACATTTTAATCAGAGGTGGGTTCACCTCTTATTATTATAGGTGTCAATCCTTTGGGTGAAGGAGCACATGGCAGAGAATAATGGGGCAGACTGGGAGCTCAGATGTAGGGCAGCAGCTGGGGTGGCAGGGCACTGGATAGTAGAGTGGGAATGTGGCCAGGTGTGGAGTGGCCTCCAGTGGCATGGCTGTGGCCAGTTATAGAAGTCTGCACTACTCTGTAGGTACCACACTCCCTGGCAGAAGTGCTTGGTGAACCCCTGATCTGCAAAGGCACATGTATCACCCTAGACCCTGTACTCCCCTGAATGTATGGTATATTCTATTAGGCCACCTCCTGCAGCCTTCAGCTTGCAGCAATTTTATGTCAGGCCATTTGGCTGGCCCACTTCAAAGTTATTCCCTATGATAGTATTGGCATCTCTAAATGGGATAAAATTGTAGAGATTTAATTGGTCTCTGCAAAATGGTTGCCCACTACAGTTTTCCACCAACAAACTGAGAAAAGTGGAGCACTGCACCAACACAAGGTGGCTTTGCAGCTCTTTTCTCAGGTTAACTCAGTCTGATTTTCTCTTCTATCACTGTTTCTGAACAAGCTTGTCAGCTTTGCCCTTCCTCTTTCTCTGTTACTCATCTCCACAGACCTGCCCTGATGGTGCTAGTTCTAAGGTAACAAATTCTTTCCTGTTTTATCTTCCAGTAATCAGAATTTCTGAGTCCCTCCAAGTCTCTGACCTTCCAATATTGTGAATCTGTGCACTCCCTCTGTAGGCTACCTCTTCAATCAGCTGTTCTCACTGCTTTGATTCCAAACTACAGAGGGTTGAGATCTGTAGCTTACATCATCTCTGCCATCTTGGATCTCTTAAAGGCATTTTTGACTTATCATATTTTCACTTTTAATGGTTTTTTGGGGATGTAACCTCATTTTAAATTGAGGAACATCTGTCTATGCTAGTCATCCTTGCCTTGAATGTAGTACCCTATACAAGTATTTTTTTCATAGAGTTGGTATAGTTATACTTTTCTATTTCCTTATTTGTGGCTTTGCTTTATTGTCTTTAATTTTTTAAAAATACTTTTAGTTGTAGATGAACACAATACCTTTATTTCATTTATTTATATGTGGTGCTGAGGATCAAACCCAGTGCCTTACACATGCCAGGCAAGTGTGCCACTGAGCTACAACTGCAGCCTATTATTGTCTTTAATTTTAACTCTGTATATGATATGACTGTTGAATTAAGTAATGATAACCCTAAGTAATAGAGTATTACTCTCTATATTGGTATTCTCTGTATTTGCTTTTTTGTATGTGATTTGATAGAATATAAGTCTGTGGCTTTGAGTAGATTCTGGCAAACTACTAAATAAGCAGTAAGACTCGTGCTTTCAGATTTATGAAGATCTCTATTTCACTGATTAGATTTGTTGTTTAAAGATAGTTTGGATATCTGAGATTCCTACTTTAGGATGTGTCTAAATTAATATTCACAAAATTATAATCAGAGTTTTTGAGGTTATATATCTTTTAAAAATTTAAATTATGTTTATTTTAAATGATAAATAAAACAAAAATTTTACATATCATTGCTGGTACGATGTGACGTTTTGATACATGTATACATTTCGTAATGTTTAAATCAAGTTAAACAAATCTATCTCATCAAACACATAACATTTCTTTATGGTGAGAACATTCAAAACATTTCCTTCTAGCTTTTTTAAAATACATAGTACATTATTGTTCATTTGTAGTCACCTTAACTGTGCAAAAAGCACATTAGAACTTTTTACTACACTCTTAATGGAACTTTGGTACTCATTGATCAATCTTTCCATTAGAGTTTAAAATGTGACATAAAAATAATAGGATCAAGTTCTTATAAAGAATATTTTCACCATCCTATTTTAAAAGTCATCAAGGTTTTTGGTACCAGGGGAAATTTGTATAGGAAGAAAAGGGTTAATGTTTCAAATGCTCATTAGTATTTTAAATCAGTTTAATATGTTTTAGAAAAAGACTGTTTCCTAATGATATAACAGCATTCACATATTAAGATTTCCATGTTATAATACAAAGGCAATATAAGGAAAAGTGAATAATTTGCCACATAGTAAAACTTGTATAGTAAAGCATTTCTACAAGGTTGTACAGTTCTAGAAAACTACAGAAATGAGTGGGGTATTGTTTTCTTTTGAGGGCTATTAAGTCACTTATGAAAAAATACTGAGTATAAAATGCATAGAACACTTTTATTAAAAAATAAAGAAGTACAAAATCATATAATAGCCTTGTGTTTTTAATTTTGACTTTGAAAATCTATTAAATTTTCCTTTTTCCATTTCCAACAAAAGGTGAATTAGTAATTTTCATGTGACTAAATTGAAGAGTAAGATACATTTCTGTTGCTACCTACTCATAGATCTAAGAAAATTTAAAGTATATACTCCTAAGGTAGAATAATTAAACTTTATTTTATTTATTATTTTTTAATATGGTGCTGAAGATCAAACCCAGTGCCTCACATGTGCTAGGCAAGCGCTCTACCACTGAGTGAATAACCCCAGCCTGAATAATTAAACTTTAAATGAAGAATGTTTAACATTAACATTCTTTGGAAATTTCTCCTATCCTATACCATTCACCACTCCATTCTCTATTTATTTGAGCAGTACAACTTCAATTATTTATGACACCTCTTCTTTCTCTCTCTAGTTCAGAAACTGAAAATAACTGAAACTTATTTAATATGGTATAGCAGTATTGGCTATTTCTAGAGAAGTATATTTAGAAAAAATGTTAAATTAGAAGAAATATGTTTTAGAAGGTTTTCTAACAATACTAAAAATGAAGTCTCCAAAAATAAGATTTGTATAAGATTTTGACATGAGGCCAAAATTGGGTTTTATTTGGTATTCACAGTACAATAGTAAAGGCAGTGAAGGGATGCAGTAAGTAGTTATGGCAGTGAGTGGTGATTGGCTGAGAGGACACAAGCGTGGGGAGGCACTTTAATGTAGGCTGTCTTGGTATTGAGTTCAACAAATATGATGGATCAGAAAAGCATGAATTTGAGTGTGAAATAACTTATCTCCATCATTTTATTGCAAAGAATACCCCCCTTTCCTCATCAAACTACAATACACACAAAATTTACATTCTCCTCTGAACAGTTATCAATCTGTAATTCTTTCCTGGAGATAAAAATCCATTTCTCTAACAAAATGATGCAATAGTTTTACTAAGAAACTGGGTCTTAAGGGAATAGGAAAAATTCCCTGCTACAGAGTAGACAGCCAAAATATACTGAATATACATATACATGGATCTAATTAGGCTATCATTGTTTGGCCTGAGTTTGATTTATGAAGCATGGAAACATTTACAAACAGAAAGAGGAAATCACTGATTGTTTGCTTCTCCTCATAAATGTTATGTGTCAATGACACAGTGAAAATCTGAGTATATAAAATATTTAGAAGAGGAAAATTCATAAGCAGAAAGTAGATTAATGGTTGCCAGAGACTGGGGGAGGGGAGAAAAAGGAAAGCAGAGTTTCTATTCGGGGTAATAGAAAAAAGTTTGGAAATAATGGTGACAATTTGTATAGCACTGTAAATGTAATTAATGCCACTGAATTATATACTTGAAAATGATTAAAATGGTAAATCTTAAGTTATGTACATTTCAACACGATAAATAAAATTTTTTGAGTAGGTATGGTTTATAACCTCTTCACAAATAACAGGAATTACAGTTAATTTAGAATTGTTATTTCCTCCACATGCAAGGAGTTTACCAATTTTGAATTTCTAATCACAAATGTGAAAAAATAAATCCAGTTTCTCCTTTCCAGAAGAGAAATTTGGAAAACCTGAAATGTAACTGAAGAAACACAGAAAAAAGGATCAAAACAAACTTCTTACTTTAATTGGTTCAGGCTGCATCACAGGCGTAGGCATAGCAATGGCACTTGGAGCATAAACCTGGTGATATGTTGCTTGAACTCCATGATCAGAATAAGGCTATTACAAAAGATGGGAGGATGGTAGGAGGGGAAGAGAAAACATATTACTTTAATCTATTAATTAAAAACATCTACTCAGCAATTAACAATGTACTAATAAGCATTTTGTTACACAATTGATAGAAACAGATGAAAAACACACTCCCTAGGTTTATTTAATTCACTTGTTATCTAATCAAGAAATAGATGGTAGTAAAAAAATCACCATATGTCCTATGAGACATATATATATATATATATAATGCATGGGAGGAAAAAAAAGTACTACTTGATTTTGTTTAAGAAAGTTGGGAAGAGTGCTCAGTGAAAGTTTTCTAGTGAAGTTGATGTTTGATATGAAAGAATTAGGGAAAGAATGAGGGAGTTACATATCAAAGGATAGATGAAACTAAGAAAACACCTTATTTGGGAAATCTACCCAGGTGTTTAGTAGGCTGGAAGAAAGATTATATACTAAATGACAGCTGAAAGATGAGTCAATAGAGCAACAGGCCAGGAACAGATCATGTAAAAACAGATTTAGGGCTTGTATAACAGATGGTGGTATCATTCACACAATGAAAACCTTATGTTTATGTAATTGTGTGTGAGGGGGTTGCAGAGAAGAAGTTAAGTTTGTGACATAATATTTATGATATTTGTAGGAATTCTAGTAGAGGTTTACTGTTGATAGAAAGTTAGATGGCTCTAAAGCAGCTCTGTCCAATAGAAATATATGAGCTGCATATATACTTAAGATTTTTCAGTAGCTACATTATAAAAGTAAAGCTAAACAGATAAAATTAATTTTAATAATATATTTTATGTAAACCAATAGGCTTAAAGTATCATATCAAAGTATAACCAATATTAAATTGTTGACATTTTTTATAATTTTTTTCATACTACACCTTCAAAATCTGGTGTACAGTTTACATTTACAGGACATTCTCAATTTGTTCTTGCCATATTTCAAGTGCTCAACTGCCACCTACAGCTACTGGCTATTATATTGGATAGTGAAGTCTAAAACTCAAGGGTGTGGTTAGGGTTTACGATATAAGTATGGATGATAATAACAGCAGTAAATACATAGAGTGAAAGAATGGAGAACCAACCATGATTATGGGAGCAAAATTAGATTACAAGGGAAAATAAAGGGATGTAAAGGAAGGCCAGAGAGAGCAGTGTCATGGAAACCATGGGTAGAAGGAGTTTCAAGGAGTATGTATAATGTCTCTGAAAGGTCAACTAAGATTAAAAGGAAGGAAGAATATTTGGCAATTAGGAAGTCCTTGAGGAAGACCTTATTCAAAGGCATTTTCAGCAGAAAGTTAAATGAAGTGGACTTCAGCAAATGTAGAGCAAATCGGTAGTGAAGCAGTAGAAATACTGAATGGTAGAAAAGAATTTCGGTATTTGTGGAAGAGAGTGTCACAGGATAATAATTGCCTTTTTCAAGATGCTAGGCACTATACAGAGCACTCTCTATGCAACACCTCTAATTTTTACATTGATTCTGTAAAATAGATTTTCCTGATGTCCTCATTTTACAAAAAAGGAAATCATGAAGGAAAGACTGTGAAGGTTGTTTCTCAAACCAGTAGATTAAATGAAGCTGTGAATGAATGAAGAGAAAAAGACTTAAAATACAAAGGAAAAAATAAAGGATAATAGATGGGGTGAGATGCTCAAGGAGGAGGAGAATGAAGCTATCTAGAGCATAAGAGGAAGAAATTACCTTGGATTAAGACTGATAGTCACTAAATAAATATATGACACTAAAGATAAGTCAGGAATTGGGTAGATTTGTATGTTGGGGGCTAGAAACTGATTTGGTTTCCATAAATTAGAAATCTAACCATAATAACTCACAAGAAAAGCCATGCACTCCTTAATTTTAGGGATAAAACTATTTAAACAATAAACCACCCTACTCTATTCATTACATTATATATTAGATTATATCTTTACCAGAAACAATATTAAAATGAAAGCATGCAAATATCATTCTGTAAGGAAATACTGCACAAATTACAAGTTATAAGATAAAAATTCCAGTAAATAGTGAATATAAAAATTCTGATGATAAGTTATCTGATATCAGGAATTAAGAATATGGTTTAATGCCAAAAGTAAATATCTAAGATAAAAACATTCTTACTTCACTGCTCTTCCTTGCAAACCAGAAAGCAACAAAAACAACAAAAGACTGATTTTTTAAAAATGCCATCATCAATTAAGAAAATGTCCATGATTCCCAAGCTATAAACAATGTAGAATATACCTGCCAAGTGCTGTACAATTTGACCACTATGAGGGAGGATTCTGAGGCCTTCTCAGACATCAGGAAGGATAAAGATTTCCTTAGAGGTCAGACCTATTCAAAGATTCTTTACAGTCTTGAGTGTAGGGGTGCATTGTATGGTCAGGCCAACGTAGAATCAGGGGGTATCTGTACAGAGATCCAATTTTACACTGTTTAACAGAAGGGGAAATAGAATCAAAGAAATCATGTTCACATCATTTTTGATGTTTACTACCTACCCTTCTAACTGAGGAACACTGCCAAGGTGAAGCAGGGTAAAGGTGAAAAAGAAGTAGCAATTATTATATCCCCATATAGAAAACCTGTGATAAAAGGAGACTTAACTAGGAACCAAAATGATCACCAGCAAAGATGTGGTGAAAAGGAAATTCTTGTATACTGTTGGTAGGAATGTAAATTAGTATAGTCATTTTGAAAAGCAGTATGGAGGTTTCTTAAAGAAATAAAAAATTACCACTTAATTCAACAATCTCATCCCACTTCTGGGAATATATCCAAAGGAAATGAAATAATAATTTGAAGAGATATCTGAACTTCCATGTTCACTGCAGCATTACTCACAATAACCAAAATATAGAATTAATCTTAATGTACTGTGTATTGATGTATGGATAAAGAAAATGCATTATTATATACATTACAGAATACTATTACACCTTAAAAAATAATATCCTGTCATTTGTAACAACATGGATGAACCTGGAGGGCATTATGGTATGAAATAGGACGGACATAGAAAGATAAATACCACATGATTATATTTAGTATTTGAAAAAATTGAATTCATAGAGGCAGAGAGTAAAATGATGATAGGTAGGGGCTGGAGGATGAGAAGATGTTTGTCAAAGGGTATAGACTTTTAGTTAGGATGAAAATATTCTGGAAATATACTTCACAGCATGGTGACTATAGCTAACAATAATGTGTTGTATATTTGAAAATTGCTGAGAATAGATCCTAAATGTTCTCACTATAAACAAAGAAACAACAACAAAATACAAAAAGAATAACCATCTAAGGTCATTGATTAACTTGACTGTGGTGATCATAATATATTCGTATGTCAAAACATCCTTAATGTCTATAGTGCAATTTCATTCATCAGTTGTATCTCAATAAAGCTGGAGAAGAGAAAAAAGCAATCACAAAAATGGAGGATGAGACAAATAATGAAGTGATTTTAGTAGAAGTGTTGATAATAAACACTGAGATCCAACTGTAGAAGCTATTTCAGAACAAAATTATGTTATAAACCTTAGCAATAGAAAAATAATAAAACAATGCACTCAAACTTGGAGGTTGGTGCTAATTTCTAATCTTTTACAAGTATGATTTAAAACATATCATGTGCAGTTCTTGGCATAGAGACAATGAGACTATTGGTGATGCATCAAGGTTATAATTTAAAGACACTTGAGGTGACATTTATAATTTTTAGTTATAAATTTGATTTATAGTTTTTTTTAAAAGAGAAAGAGAGAGAGAGAGAGAGAGAGAGAATTTTTTTAATATTTGTTTTTTTGGTTTTCGGCGGACACAACATCTTTGTTTGTATGTGGTGCTGAGGATCGAACCCGGGCCACACGCATGCCAGGCGAGCGCGCTACCACTTGAGCCACATCCCCAGCCCCTGATTTATAGTTTTGAAGGGAAATTCTTTTTAGATATTTTCCTCATTTGTTTAATGACTAAATACTTTTAACTAACAACGTGAGCAACAATACAGACTGAAAGGCAAAAGAGAAAGGCAAAAATTTGGTGTCTCATTACTTTCAAGGAGATTGAGTCAGGGATTAGCTTAGTGGGCAGTTGACTTGGGGAAGGATTCAGGATTAGTTAGTGAAGAAATCTAAAATGAAGCACTGTTAGACATAAAAAGGATAAGAAATATCAATAAATCAAAGAAAACATAAGATGAGCAGTTTTAATGAGGGTCTTAAGTTAAAAAAGAAGAAAATGAAATGTTAAATGGGTTAACAGTAGCAATTACCTTCAGACTAATATAGGGCTAGGAATATAGCTCAGTGGTAGAATGCTTACCTATCATATGTAATGCCCTGTGTTCAATCCTTAGAACAAATGTAATGGCCTGTGTTCAATCCTTAGGACAACAACAACAACAACAAAGACTAATATATACCTCTGGAACTGAAGCTTCCATGAGAGACAGTGGAGGAGGAACACATCCAGCATCTTGTGCAATTTCCACTGGTTGATAAATAACTTCAGAAGGTTGGAGGTATAAGAATGGAGTAGAAGAGGCAGGAGACTAAAACACAAAACCATATTTTTCATTCGAATATGATTAGTTATTTCTGTTAAACCAAATGCTTACCCAACAGAAAAGAGAAATATATATTTCATATTTTCCTAAAATTCTTTTTCAGAGCTAGCATAGAACTATCTTAGCAAAAGACTAGGAACTCTGGGTTATTATAAATTCCAATTGTGCAGATATCAATAAAGAACATTATCACTGGTAAGTGTTAAAAGTTCTTAGTGCCTCAGAACCTCCTTCACAAATTTAGACACTAATTGTGGATGTATTAACATCATTAAAGTTTGTAGTTATATGGCCTCTGGTATTTAAAATGGTATAAGTATTTACTCTCAGCTTTGTGTCTTGACATAGAAGTGAGAAAAAGTCACCAATATTTTTGGTAGTAAGCTGTTTGATATCAAAAGTTAGAAAACAGAATACAGGTAGAACATCACTGAAGTTCAGTTTCAGAGCATTTTAGATTTGGATTAGGGATGCTCAAATAATAAAGGCTATGCAAATACTCCCCAATCCAAAGCACTCAGACACACTCAGAAAAATGAAACACTTTAGTTCCCAAGCCTTCTTTATGAAGTATACACAATCTGTACTTATTTAGAGGCATAAGTCAAACTGAAGCAAAATCTGAAGTAAAGGTAGAGAAGTGCTAAATTTTCCAATAACATCAACAGTATAAAAAAGTAATTCTTCATGTTAATGTACCATTCACTTATATGCTTTCACTTACACGATCTTATTTGATCTTCACAAAAATCATGTAAGGAAACTTACCAAGTTGTAGTGTTATTACATCCATTTTAAAAATGAGGAAATGTGAATATAAATGATCACACTTAACACAAAGAAGAGAAAGGTCTCAAACCCACTTCTCCTGACTTTAGTACTCATTTTTTTGGCTTTTATTAAGGTACACAATATCAATAATTATAATTGTAAAGATTTTATTCATGGTTGGAAAAATAGGTTCCAGGAATTCACTGTCTGTATAAATCTCTATTTATGCAGTCTTCATAAGAATAAAGTAAAATATGGATTTTATTTATTTATTTATTTTGGTACCAGAGATTGAACCCAGGGCCACTTAGGCACTGAGGCACATCTCCAGCCCTTTTTATTTTCTATCCTGAAACAGGGTCTCACTAAGTTACATAGGGCCTCTGTAAGCTGCTGAGGCTAGTTTTGAACCTGCAATCTTTCTGATTCAGCCTCCTGAGCTTCTGGGATTGCAGGCATGTGCCAGCTGTGGCCGGTGAAATTAGACATTGAAACTTTATTAATATTTACCTGAGGAACACCCCACTGCCACTGTCCTGGTAGACACTGTGCTGGGGCCTAAAAAAAAAAAACAATAAACAAAATACCACCCAGGTTATAAACAAGGTTTAAAACTGGATAACTCTGTGAAGTTGGCCATCATATGAATAAATCATGAAAATGTTATGCTAACTCAAAATGGGTCAGAGACCTAAATGTAAAAGCTAAAACAATAAAATACTTAGAAATAAAACATGGCTGTAAATCTTTGTAACTCTGAATTAGGCAATTGTTATAAATTTATAACAATAACAAAGCAACAAAGGAAAATAGATAAACTGGACCTTAATCAAAATTAAAAAAAATTTATGCTGCAAATGATGGCATTATGGAAATGAAAAGACAAGCCACAAGATGGGAGAAAATATTTTCATCATGTGTCTGATAATGAAATTATTTCAAGAATATATAAAGAACCTTTAAAACTCAATAATAAAACACAAGTAACCTAAGTTAAAAATGGTTATTCAAATAATATGAATAGAATTTTCTTCAAAAAAGATATCATATGACCAATAAACATCTGCAACATCATTGTCTTCAGGAAAATAAAAGTCAAAACCACAATGTGATACTACTTCATTCATATCCACTAAGATGGCTATAATCAAAAAAGGTAGATGTACAAGTATTGGCAAGGACATGGAGCTATTACAGACCTCATAATCTGTTGATGGGAATATAAAAATGGAACAGTCCTTTTGAAAAACAGTGTGGTCTTAAATAGTTAAACACAAAAATACCATATGAGCCAGCAATTACATTCTAGGTGTAAGACTTATGAGTCATGTAATATGTAATATGACAAGAACTTGCATGAGTGTTCATCACAGCATTATTATGAACACCAAAAAGTGAAAACAATCCAAATATCTATTGTCTGATGAATGGAAAATAAAGTGTGGTATAATCATACAATGGGATTTTATTGCAAAATGTACTGATACATGCCATCACATGAATAAATCATGAAATTTTTTAAAAAATATTTTTATTAGTTATTGGACCTTTATTGATTTATGTTTATGTGGTGCTGAGAATCGAACCCAGGGTCTCACACATGCTAGACAAGCGCTCTACTGCTGAGCCACAGCCACAGCCACAGCCACAGCCACATGAAAATGTTATGCTAAGTGAATGAAGTCATATTACATATTACATGACCATAATAGGCAAGCTTATAGAGCAAGATATTATTAGTTGCTTAGAATGAAGTGGGAGAAAAAGAGGTTAAGTTTTTCTTTTTTGGGGGGAAGTGTATGTGATTAAGATATTCTAAAATTAATTATGGTATACTTCATTAAAAGTCATTTTAAGTGGGTGGATGTTTAGTATGTGAATTATATCTAAATAAAGCTGTTTATTAAAAAAGGTCAACTTATTTTAAGGTACTTAATGAAAGATGACAATATAAAGGACTTTTTTTTCTTAAGATAGTCATACTATTTCTTAATAATAAATGTTTTATTCTTATTTATTTCTTTTTTGTGTTTCCAGGGATCAAACCCAGAACATTGTGTATGCTAGGTAAGCAGTCTACCACTGAGCTACATCTCTAGCCCATTATTCCTTTTAAATAAAGCTATTTTTTCTTTAAGATATATATATATATCCCCACAGATCTACCTTCTAAACCAAAATCACTGTAAATTCAGTGTGAGTACTTCAACTGCTAAGGGATGATACCACTATATTATACTAAAGACCAAGATAATATGAAGTTTATGAAGTTTTAAGGAAAACCTTGAAATGTAATGATTCATGGATTTGTTAAATAAATAACAGTTTAACTATAAAGTGAAAAATAATATGAAGGAGGTAAATGCTGATTAAACTGAATTACTTGCTTTGATTAATAGAAACTGGTGAAATCATCTATCTCAGAATTTATAAAAAAGCAAAGGAATATTCCTATCAAAGTGGCATTTTTGAGGGTAGAATTTGCTAAATATATAAATGGAAAGTGTATAAAGTGAAATTATTTCTTATATTGAAAACTCTTATGATTTATAAATTGGTAGATACACTCTTTTCCTGAGTATATCTAGGTAACCTAACCTTTAATTTTATAATTTGTATCAGTGTATATAAAATATAATTTTATAATTGTATAATTTGTATAATTGTACCAGAATTAGGATTGAAAGTATCATAGAGGATTTTAATTGTAAGGTGATATCTACCTGGTAGTGATATGCAGGTTGATGATAAACTGGCTGAGCTACCATCACAGGAGAACTAGATATAGAACGTGACTGTAAGAAGAAAAATTGAAAACTCATTTTAGGAAAAATTCTTTAAAATAGCTCATAATAAAATTTATCTTAAATTGTTACCTAAACCCAACCAACTTTTGGTTTATAATTCAAAGTATTATTTTTCTATCTCTTATTGATATTACCAATTCTACTTAAGTCTATTTATTAAAATCATCACAGTATTCCTACTTCCATTTGTTTCATTTCCATAGTAATTAATGATAAAACCACTCAGAAGATGCTTTTAGTCTGAAATGTATCACCTTCAAAGATTATGAAAATACAGTTCTATAGGAATATTCAGGGAAATATGACATCTGGATTTAGGGTGACACCTCCTACAGTTTTTAAATTCTTTTTTTTAAAGTTGCAAATGGACTCATACCTCTATTTTATTTATTTATTTTTATGTGGTGCTGGGAATTGAACCCAGTGCCTCACATGTGCTAGGCAAGCGCTCTGCCACTGAGCCACAACCCCAGCCCAGGCACTCCCTATTTTTATTGTGGAAAACAGCAGTAGTTTATGTTTATATAACATTTAGAACTAAATTAATGATCCTATCTGATTTTTCCACTACTTACAAATAATAAACATTCTATTCCCTTATTACATATAAATTATAAATTTATAAGGCATATAAATTATTTACTGAATCATTTGTCAAACTGTTATTTTAAAAAAGTTGACATTTAAATGAGTTAACCATCTAGTGAACTTGTGATGTGTTTATGTCTGAAGAAAGTACAAGTAATACTTGATTAGTAATAATAATAGTGATAAGTAATTTCTTCTGGGACTTACTCTAACACCATATCACTAATAAAATAGGCAAGTTGTATTTCAAGACAGGTAAAATCAGCTTTAATGGTAGTAATAAAATTTAATCTCAAACATAGACTCCAACTTCATATTGTTTTGTATTAATGTTCACCCCCATAAAAAACTGAAGTATCAGTTTTGTACAATTCACAGATTCTAATGTTAATAAAATTGTACCGTGGAATAATATTAGAAAATAGCAATGTAATTTGCTATTTAGAAGGTTCAAGAAAAAATCATAATCTCAGCAGATACAGAAAAAGCATTTTGAAAAATTCATTGTCTTTTTATGATAAAAACTCTTAGCAGACAAAATAGAGAATAACTTCCATAACTCATTTAGGGCAATAATTATGAGTCATAGGTAATTTTGCCTTGTAGGGAACATCTGGCAATGTTGGGAGACATTTCTGGTTGTCATAACTATGGGCAGGCTAGAGACATTTTTAAACATTCTACAACCACAGGACAATAATTTTCTACAAGAAATCATCTGGCCCAAATGGCAATAATGCCAACCAAGGTTATGAAACTCTGGTTAACTGTATTTTCCAAAGGCCTACAAAGTGAGAGGGGGGTAGGTGGGAGGAGGGAGTGGGAGAGGGGAGGTGGGTAGGAGGGAGGGAAACAGATGAATGGTGAATTACCAAACTTGTTCCTTTTTTCAAGAACAAAGTTATGATGTAATCACATCAATACTGTAGCAGAGATCCTATCAGTGTAATAACTCAAAGGGAAAAAGCCTCAATAAATAAAAGAACAGAAAGAAATAGAAGTATACTGAATCATAAACAATTGTCTAAATGAGAATTTGGCAGGGTTACTGATACAGTATCAATACTGAAGTATCAAAAGCATTACTATACATCAGCAATAACCTACTAGGAAACGTGATTTAAAAAATAGCATTCATAAAAAGCAATAAGAATAATAGTGTACTAAAAATAAATTAAAAAAAGATGAGTCAAAGTTTTTCATGGAGCTAAAAGAAGACCTAAATAAATAGAGAAATATATCTTGCTTATGAATGGGAATATTCAAAATTACAAAAAACCTAAATGTCTCAAATTAATTTACATGCTGAATGTAATTCTACAGAATGCCAACAATGGTTTTTCACAGAACTAAACAAGTTAAACTATAAAATTTATCCTTAAAAAAGCAAAGATTTAAGGACAGACAAAAGATTCCTGAAGAAATAAGTGAGAGGATTTGTCCCATCAATTTTCAAGACTTAAGATAGAGACATAATAATTAAAACAGAATTGGGCTGGGTATGGTGGTGCATGCCTGTAATCCCAGTGGCTTGGGAGGCCAAGGCAGGGGATCACAAGTTCAAAGCCAGCCTCTGCAATTTAGTGAGACTCTGTTGCTAAATACAATATAAAAAGGGCTAGGGATGTGGTTAAGCATCCCTGGGTTCAATCCTTGGTGCCAAAAAACAAAAACAAAAACAAAAAAATTAAAGTTGAATAGGGTAAACCAATATACCAATGGAACAGAATGAGAGAGCCTAGAAAGATATCTGCACACAGAAATTGGCAGAAGACTCACTGCAAAACAGGGAAAAGTTGGACTAGTCAATACCTAAACCAGAGATTTAAGATCTAGGTGAAAATATAGGAGATTATCTAGCTTCTTGTTCTAAATGGTTTCTTTTAGAAATAAGATACTAAAAGTTGAAACCATAAAGGAAAACATTTAATACATGTCAATATTGAAAGAAAGATAAAAAATGATAAATATTTTATAAGAAAACATAAACAATATTAATGGACAAGCCACACACTGGAAAGAGATACTTACAATCTACACCTACATATAATTAACTCAAGAAAAAGACAACAAATGACCTCAATAGAAAAATGGACAAAGAACAGGGTATAGACAAGGAAACTGGAACAACCACTAAGTGTATGAAATGTTTAATTTTACCAATAATTAGGCAAATGGAAAGTAAAATCAAATATTGTTACATAAAAATACTGACAAAAATGTAAAAATCTGGTAATTTTAAGTATTAGTACATTATGGGGAAATTGGAGCCCTCATGAACTGTTGTCTAGAGAGTAAACTGATAAGACTTTTTCAAGCTGTTTGTCAACATTTAGCCAAAGTTATATATACACTTCATGAATGTAAAATTTCAATTCTACACATATATTCTAGTCCAGACCAAGTTACATTATGGAAGCATGAAAATTTTCCATTGGTACATGAGCATGAATACCAATTTTCAGATCCCAAACTTCATATAGTTTGAGATACTAAACTCCTTCTTGAGTTGATCTGCCTGTGTGAATGTGTCTGTAAACTCTGGGTTCTTCTTTTCAAAAACTCCCCTTTCACCATCACCTTTTTCCTTCCCCAAAGACAGGCACACTTCTCACTCATTCTAGATTTTGCTATGCTTTCTTATGGAATGTAAATAGTATTGGGACCAAACAAATACACAATTAAAAAGGCAATGCCCTGAGAAAAATAAGAAAGAAAGCAAAAAGGTGGCATAAGAAATACCAAAGGGGTGATGGCATCTTATTTCATCCAGGGAACTAACTTAAATTAACTCTCCATCACAGGGGCTACATATTAACTCATTTATTTGAGTTTTCCTCATTTGACTAGTTTTATTCTGAATTGTAGAGTGGAGATTTTAAATTATTAAAATAAACTAAATATATGGGTACAAAAGTTTTTTTTGGGGGGAGGGGTGCAGGGGTACCAGGGTTTGAACTCAGGAACACTTGACCACTGAGTCATATCCCCAGCCCTATTTTGTATTTTATTTAGAGACAGGGTCTCACAGAGTTGCTTAGCACCTCACTTTTTCTGAGGCTGGCTTTGAATTCGTTATCCTCCTGCCTCAGCTTCCCAAGCCACTGGGATTACAAGCATGAGCCTCAGCGCCCGGCTCTGTGTACAAAGTTCTGATAGAAAAGAATTAAGAAAAACCTTAGAAAACTACTGCCATAGAAAAACTTGTATAACACATACAAGATCTGAATGTAGTCTTTTTTTTTAATTTACTCACTTTAGTTATACATGTCAATAGGATGTATTTTGGCAGATTACTGGATGTAGACTTGATAACAGAAAAAATTTAAAGTGTCTGACTAAAGGAATATAAAAATTGTAGTATAATCATATAATGGGATATCATAAAATATTAAAATAATTAAATATACAGGAATTAACATGATATAATTAAAAAAGATCAACATATTTTAATCTCAAAATGCTGTATTGAGTAGAAAAAGATTATTTACATAGTGTTTAAGAAACAGCCCAAACAATATTATATTGCTTAAGGATATACATTTGAAGTAAAAATATAAAATGAATGGGAAAGATATTCTGAGGAGAAAAAGAGGGTAAAGGATTGGGGATAAGGAGACTACCTGAATTTATCATACTTTATTATTTCCCTCTTTAAAATGAACTTAAATATGGCAAAATGTTAATATTAACACTGTTAAAATACTAAATTTGAGTGGTAGGGAAGTAGGTGTTATGTTACTTGTATTTGTTTAAAATATTTTAGAAATAAAACAATATTTTAAAACATTTGATAGTTAATAGAGAGAAACTCTTCTAAAATGAAATTACTTACAGGCCAAGGTGGTGGGACAGAAGTTACCTCTGGAGTATGAAAATATGCAACACCATTATGGTAAGTGTAAGGATATCCAGTTGAAGTTGTTAGATACATTGTTCCAGCAGCTGGCATTACACTAGAACCTAAAGCAAAGGTTAAATAATAATAATTGAAATGTTCAATATAACTTTTAAACATGTAATTTCTGAATAGTTTGGAAAAATATTTATCTTAACACACCACATAGCTACAATAAGATACCACAAGTATTTTTTTTAATTCCATATGAAGCATGTATTTTCAAATTTATTAATTTGTAGCTTTTATTAGCTTAAGGCAATTAAAAGGAGTCAAGGTTAGTAAATATTAAAAATCTACCAATTCAGACTGTAGTGAAACATGGAGCTTAAGAATTTAAATTATCATCAGCTAAGTCATTTTTACAAACATATATAATTTAGTTACTTGAAGACTACAGGTACCATAGTAAAGTTTCTAAGATCTTAGCTAGACCTTCTATTTGTAAAAGTTCAAAGATGGTGGAGGCAGTAAAGTTGGAGAAGTCTACTTTGCTGAAGATGTTTTATTCCATCCTATTTAATTCTTTGGGTTTAGAGCAAGCATTCACTTATGTTGCAACTCTTTATCTCCATTTTCCCTTTGTTACAATTACTGCTGTTGCAAACGTTGACCAGAAACTTCTTTGGCTAATGTGGGGTCCTTATCTCTTTTTCCAGGCCAGGTGGTATGAAGAAAATAAAAATCAGATTACACACACACACACACACACACACACACAATTTTGTCATGGAGGAGACTTTAAAAAGTTACATAAGCCAATTTAAGATTACTGGCCCAGCAAGGTTATGTAAATTACTGTAATTAGCAATGCTTCTTCCACCATATTAGTGCTTCTCAAAATTTAACATTAGAATCACCTACATAGTTTATTAAAATACAAATTTCAGAACAAATCCCACTATTATGTGTAATTATAATGCAACAATAAACATTAAAATAAATAAAAAATAAAAATATAAATGCATATAATTATATTGTACATTTTGTAACAAAAAAAGCAAACAAATACAAATTCCAGGGATTTTGATTTAGTTAGATAGGGCCTAAGAATTTGCATTTTGAACAGTTCTCAAGTGAATTGATATTGTTTGCAAACCACTTCAAGTAGTACTAGACTACCATTTTAAGTAGCACTACCAATTCTTAGCTTTTATATTTTCACTGCATTGGATCTAGTATTTTAGTGTTTTAGCGTTTTTTAATCATGTTCTTTTGAGAATCTGATGAAAGCCATGGACCTTTTTCTCAGAAATATGTATAGTCAAACAAAAGTTTACACACAATTCAGGAGGTTCATGGATTCCCCCCAAAGATCATCAATGAATAATGGTTTATCTGTTAAAGAGAGAAATACATAAATAAATTTTTAGTGCATACTATTAAAGGGCATTGAACTAAGACCTGATGATACAGAAAAATTAAAAACTGGCCATGGCATCATCTCTATCTCCAGAGAAGTTAGGGAAGATAGTCATTGGCTAATTACACAATTAATTAAATGTTTGATAAATGTATGAAAAAGTGATATAGGGTATAATGCTAGGCCATATGGGGCACCATGCAGGACATTAATATTATTTTATATATAATAATTATATAATTAATAAAATATATAATATCATTGTTATAGCAAATGTATTATATGTAATATAAAGTAATTAGTTCATATAATTAATTAATTAACCTCTCCATATATATGGAACATTTGTGAGAAAATTATTGCTGAGCTGGCTTTGAAGAAGGAATGGATGAATGGTATTGGCAAAGGAAATAGCATTTCAGTGTTTGGGAAGCAAAGTGTGGTTTCTGAAACTGAGAAGGCCAGATGGCTGAAGCACAAAATGAAAAGGGAAGAACAGCTCAAAACAAGCTGAAATGAGATGATAAAGTGTGAACTTCTAAAAGATCACTACGGCTGCCTTGTGAATGATGAAATGGAAGGTAGCAAGATTATATTCATAGGGACCAGCAAGGCTTTTCCGGTAATCAAGGAAAACAAAGTAGATAGCTGAGACTAGGGTGTTAGTAACAAAGATGGAAAGAAGTAATGGATTTGAGAAAAAATTAAGAATATCTTGTATTTTGCAAATGTATTTTTAATACCCATTTTTCTTTGTAGAAAGATAAAAATAGCTTTAAGGTCAAACAGTCCTAGATTTGAAGGCTAATACTACCACCATGTGGTTAAGTTAACCTCATACTTTATAGGTTTGAATATAGTTATGTTATGGCAGGAGGTAAGAAAAGGCATAGGGTGAATATAGTGATGTTCCTATAGAATCTGTTAATCAAACAGTTATTTTAAGGAAATATTTTTATATAAAATATGATATTATGAACAGAATGCAAATTATGCATGAAGTAATTTTTATATAAACCATGAGATTTAAAGAAAAGTTGTAAGCCGCACATGGTGGCACACTCCTGTAATCCCAGTGGCTCAGGAAGCTGAGAGGAAGATGGCAAGTTCAAAGTCAGCCTCAGCAATGATGAGGCACTAAGCAACTCAGTGAGATCCTTTCTCTATTAAATAAAGTATAAAATAGGGCTGGGGATGTGGCTCAGTAGTTGAGTGCCTCTGAATTCAATCCCAGGTATCCCCCTCAACCGCCCCCGCCCCCCCAAAAAAACAATAAAGAAAACTTGTAATTTCAGTATACTGTATTGGGTTAAGACCCACAATTGGCCAAGACTAATTTTGCCTTAGGAGTATTTCAGAGGAAATGTTTTTAAAACAATGACTTCCCTAAGAATGAGTTCTCTATTTCTAGAAATAGACCTCATAATATCTCAAAGATTGCTGTGAAGATTTAAGGAGATCAACGAAAACCCATAATACTGACCCTCATGCTGAATAGTTCTGAAAAAAAAAAAAAAACTTTTCATATATTTGAAAACATTAAACATAGTACTGATTTATTTTCTATTTTAGCAACTGGTGGATCATAAATATGAACATTACTAATTGGTACTTACTGCTGGTGATAATGGGATAAAGAAATGTTACTATATATTACAACTTAACTCTTGTAACTAACAATAATTTGAAAATATCAGCTTTCTGCCATGTTTACTGCATTCCATTTTGAAGTGAGCTACATTAACACTAAGTCAAAATTAAAATTAATTCTGTTAACTCATAAGTAAAAGAACAATTCAAATGAGCAAAAACATCAATTTGTTAAGAGAGATATAATAACTACCTAAACATTCGAGCAGAAACTAGGAAAAAGCTAGGGAAAAATAAGAAAAAGTTAGGTAATTTTATGTTTTCTCTTTAATATCTCAATAAATGTTAAAGACAAGAAGTTAATTAACAAGTTAATTAATGAGAAAAAAGTTGAAAGCATTATAGAAATTTGAGGAAAACAGACTTAAGTTAATTCCTAAAGTTTTAGTGATTATTCACACTATAGTTATGACACTTGTGGCTGGGTTACAGTACATACCATGCAGTGGTTTCTGCTATTCTATATTTTCACTTTCAGTATTTTTGCTGATAAATTTTAAATTACTTTTCCAACTTGAAAATTTTATAATTAGTAATTCTAAATTACCAAATCACTCCTATTGCTTTGACTATTTAAAATATTTTCATCATAAAAGATCTTTTCTTTAAAGATGTACCTATACAGAATATAAGTAAGCAACATTATTTATGTGTATTTTTCCTTAGTCTCCCAAAACTAAGATATATTAACCCACTAAGTCTTAAGTTTTCATTCTGTGAATCTTTCAATGAAATTGACACAAGTGCATTAAAATAGGTTGGAAATAATAATCTAGTTTATATATATTATATTAATTCATGTTAAATTATATTTTTATTATTATAATTATATTGTATATCACATTTTATTCATCTATACTATATTTAAGTTTTTATAGGTGTTCTACATCTAGGATGATGAGATAAAACGGGTTCATTTGGGGCAAGATATATTTATGTGACCTCCAACTTTGCTAAAACAACTTTATTAGATGAAAGAAACATGATGTTTTAAGAAGATTCTATAAATATTTCAGAAAGGACTATTAAAAAATATTGAAAAATACATTAGTTCTCAATACATACGAGGGATCCCTACTTGTTGTTTTCTTATTGCTGGTCCAATATTCAGTTTCTTATCTTTATAATTAAGTTTTTCAGCCTAAAATAAAGAAAAAACAAACAACTTTATTATTCTGGTATTGCTATTTCTAACACCAACAAATAAAAACTAATGAGAAACAATTTTAAAAAATCAGACTATTTTTGAAAGCAGCAGGGCATAGTAGAAAGGGCAGCTTTTGGAATCAAATAATCTGGGTCTCAATTTTGGTTCCAATATTCCGACTGTAACTTCTTATTTGTAACACAGTCAATCCTCATTATGCATTGCTTCTATATTCATGAATTTGCCTATTTACCAAAATCTATTTGTAACCTCAAATGAATACTTGTGGTGATTTCAAGGTTATTAGTAAACATGTGCTGAATGGTGAAAAATTTGAGTAGCCTGACATATGAGTTCCCAGTGGAGGTCAAACAACGCAACGTTATTTCTTCTTTTCAGTTTTCATAATATAAAAAAGTATCTTTTTCATATTCTAATTAGTGCTGCATTTTTTTTTACATTTTTTGTAAGTGATTGTGTTATTTAAAATGATCTCCAAGTATAGTGCTATGCTAAAGTGCTGGCTTATGGTCCTAAGCACAAGTTCCTGTTATATGCCTTATAGAGAAAATATGGATTATATGTGCTTAATTCAGGCATGAATGATAGTGCTGGTGGCCGTAAATTCAATGTTAATGAATCAATAGTATATTAAATAGGGTGTATTTAAATAAAAACATAACAAAACAAGGTATGTACTGACTGACTGATGACAATATTGTAATCAGAGGTTCTTGGGAACTTTATATTGTGTTTCCCCTAGGAACAGCAACAGTTCAGTATTCACTAATTTAGTATTCAGGGCAACTTTATAGAATAAACTACAATGAATAACAAGATTCAACTGTTTATTATTTTGATAATATATAATTAAAACTCTTACTTTTTCTAAAAAAATTAAACATTACATTTGCCATAATTCAAAATTATTACATTGAACTACAGGGTACAAGTTTTTCTATGAATGATCTTACTTTGTATTAAGTTTTTCATAAAGAAAAATAATCTCAGATAATTCTGCTCTGTGTTTGTGGCGATTTTTAGGAATCAAGATCTTACTATCATTTCACATAAGATACATCTCCAAGTTATTAGTTCAGGTAAACAGATGAAAAGAATTTTACTACAGCCTCATAATCACAGTCATGTAATGATTTGGAAATTGTCCTTCTGCAGCATTTCTTGGATATCAATGGCAGTCTTACAAGGCACATACTTTTTTTTTTTAAAGCAGTTCATTACTGTAGTTGTACTTTATTATTAAACACCTTAAAGTATTAGTTTCAAGGAGACATGCTCCAAAAATGAAGTTAAATGTATCAAAGAACTTACCTCTTGTAAAATTTTTTGTGCATCTTCTTGTGTTTCAAAAGTGACAAAACCATACCTTAAAAAAATTGCATCATTAATAATTATTTTCTTAAAACATTACATTAGTTATATTAAATTTTTTCTTTTTTCCAGTGCTGGGGACTAAACTCAGTCTTACACATGCTAGGTAAGTGCTCTACCACTGATTACATCCCCAGTCCTATACCAAAATAATCTTTTTTGTTTGTTTGTTTGTTTAAGGATAGGTCACTGTAGGAGTTAGCCTCTTTCTATATTGTAACAGCATAGGAATCTTAGAGGAATCATTCACAACATAAGTCAGGGCACTGAAAGGAAAATAAAAGGAAGAAACCAGGGATCTTGAAATAATTTCACTCCTGAGTTGAAAATTATGAGATTCATGTTCTGGTTTAAAAATTGGAATGTAATGAATTTTGGTCTAAAGCAACAATCTCCTTTAAAGTAGCAGAAGTTTGGCTTTCAAGGAATAAAAGTAGAAAAAAAACTTAAAAAAATTAAAAATCTAAGCACAATAAAATTTCTTGTATTGGTAAAAGATTGTATAAATGTATTAATTATTATTGGCATGTATAAACTGATTATACAATTATTAGTATGTTTCCCAAATAGTATCAGTTAAAATGTATACAACCTAGCTTTTATGTCTGTTTTTTCCATACAAGTATAATTCATATAATGTTCAAGATACAAATATGAGTTATGCCATTTCCAAAAAACAAATTAGGTAGAGAAAAAGGAAACAATAAAAGTGTATCTGAAATTTGATATATATACACATAGAGAAGAATGAAATTATGGCATATGCTGGTAAATGGATGGAACTGGAGAATATTGTGCTAAGTGAAGTAATCCAGTGCCCCCAAACCAAAGGCTATTGAATATTCTCTCTGATATGTGGAATGCTAACCCAACAAGGGAGGGTGGGGAAGGGAAGAATAGAAATTCATTAGAGTAGACAAAGGGGAATGAAGGGAAGGGGGGGATGGGAAACAGGAAAGGCAGTAGAATGAATCGCACATAAATTTCCATCCTTATATTGAATACATGACCAGTGTAGCACCACATCATGTACAATCACAAGAATAGGATCCTAATTAGAATAAGTTATACTCAATGTATGTACAATATGTCAGAATACAGTCTATTATGCATATCTAAAAGGAATAAAAAAACCAAATCTAAGAAAACATAATTTCTATTTAGATAATGAAATTCTTGAGTAGTGCAAAATAGCCTTTAATTTCCTTTTGTTTTTAATGATTGATCATATTTAAAGTTCCTTCCTTCCTTCTTTCCTTTCTTTCCCAGGGATTGAAACCAGGGGCACTTAATCACTGAGCCACATCCCCAGCCCTTTTTATTTTTTATTTTGAGGCCGAGACTCACTTAATTGCTTAGGGCTTTGAAAAGTTGCTGAGACTGGCTTTGAATTTATGATCCTCCTGACTTAGCTTCCTGAGTTGCTGGGATTACAGGTATGCACCACTGCACTTGGTAATGTTTCTTTATAGATAAAGGACTTTCTCTTTATCTGTTTGCCCAAACATTAGATAAGAGTTAACTATTTTACACTATTTTTTTTTTTTTGTAGAACACGTACACCATCCAGTGGAAAATGCATAAAATACAGCTTACATTTCCTTGTGCATTATTCAATGATAGAAATTAGATATTAACAAAATAATACAAATTATGATAGCCATACAAAAAAGGGATAATCTCAACTCATCTGACTATTATTTGGCACTATTAGGAAATATTCATCTATTTAAAAATAACCTATAAAGAATAGGATCCCATCTTTTCCAGAATACTCACTTGCCATATGTTGTTTCTCACTAATATTGTTTGTATCTATTTCATTGGTCCTTTTTTTGTGTCTGTAAATATTCGTGTCCTGTCCCTCTTTCTATAAAATAAACAGAATCCTTCACTGGTCTCCACTGCCTTCTCTCTTTTATTTTACCTTTGCAGTAAAATTCATTATGTGAATGCACTATGTGAACTACCTTTCCCCTCTCCAAAATTTGGCTTTTGTACACACAGCAATCTACTGAAACAGCTCTACACATTTCCAGACACACCTTATTGCTTTCTTCACATTTTCAATCTCCTTGATATGACAATTAAAAATCCTTCTCATTAAAGTTATATTTCTCATATTAGTTCCCTAATTAAGTCTCTCAGACACAATCTAAAGACATTCCTTGGAGTCAGCTGTTTTTAAATAAAATTTTATAATAATCTAAAGGAGGGAGAAGATTCATTAAGTATCTGATCTTTAAGCTTCTGGACCCATAGCTACCAATACATTTGGTTCTCAACATTAAGTGCTTGCTGTTTAACACTGAATGGGCCCTCAGTCTACACAACATACATTCCCAATAAATAAAGGAAAATTATAGTATTCTTTCCCATCCCACTAAAACACACACAAGTGTCTAATACACGTAAATAGACTGAAAGGTAAAAGAAAAAGAGAGGGAATGGAATTCTGTTGGAACAAAAAACTACCACAATAATGGGATAGAGGAAAAAGAGAAGTTTAAGTTTAGTACATTAGACAAAGAGGAATGAAGGGAAATAAAAGGGGATGGGAATAGGAAAGACAGTGGAATAAATCTGACAATTTTCCTATGTACATATCTGAAAAGACCTATGCAAATCCCACCATCATGTATGTCTACAAGAATGGGGACCTAATTAGAATGATATAAATATGCATGTATAATTTTATAAAAACAGATTCTATTGTCATGTATAACTAAAATGAATCAATAAAAAGAAAAAAGAAAAAATGAAATCAAATAGGTAAAAAAAATCTAATAATTCAATAAGAACACAACTGTTAATTCTATATACTATCTGTAATGATACTAACCCTTTGGACACTCCAGCTCTGTCATTTACAATCTTTACTTCTTTTACAGATCCATACTGGGAAAAAAATTTTCTTAAATCATTTTCATTTGTCTAATGGCATAAAAAGAAAACATTAGGAAACCTTTTTAATAAATAAAAGATGAAACAATTCATATGTTTTGGACACAGAAAAAGTTATAAATAAACAATACTATTGTTAAAGAATGTCTCTCCTTAAAACAGTTTGGAAACTACTATGTCATTAAAATAAATACAAATCCTTTGCTTTATACAGCAGCTATATTGTTAAACTATTACAAAAACAATTTAAGCTGAGTTATTCTAAAGCTTTAAAAAAGGCTCAGTATTTAAAAGAATCTTTAGGTCACTCTTGTTCTCTAGTTGACAAGTTTTGAAAACACAAATTTGGATTAGACATGCTATAACCACAGTAAGGACATATTACTATTGAATCTTGTGGCTCAGGAAGGCTGACAGGTATGACAATAAAACTAGGTAACATTGGCCTATTCCAGTTACTTTATTATTATCAACATAATCTCCAGGAAAAGTCAGGGGTTAGGAAAGGAATATATTTCCACAATTACTTGAACTTAATTTGTGATAACAATGGACTAACTATGGGATTTAAATTTATTAGATACTTTATTTGTATTCAACATACATTTCAGTAAATTCAGACATTATGATGGTATTTAAAATAACAACATCATAAGTTAGACTTATAATGTATAAAACATGTACAAAGATGATTTTTACACTGTGGTTTTTACTTGAAATAGTCCGATAACAGACTTAAAACATATTTTCCTAGATTATTCATACTATATTCACAGTGCTTTCATTTTCTGGTTTAGTTGCAACTGTTTGCATCCAAGAATAAACATCTCTGGGAGAAATATCTTTATATATAGGAAAAATACAGGTCTTAGAGCAGAGTTTCACCCTTTGAGTTTTACTGCTATTTCACTACTTAAGTATACTATCACTTTTTAATTGGTAACAAAAAGTTTGCTAAACTGGATGATGACAAATATTAAGTTAATCTAAGATTTAGTGAATGTCTTTTATTCTAATAAATACAAAATGAAATTAATGCTAGAATAAGGATTGTTATTAGTGATTAAAAAATTAATTCATACTATTCTCTGGTGGAAGACTCACTATATTTTGCAGTTCTACTTCTTCATGAGAGGATAAGGACAGAAAGACACAATGATTAAACACTAAGAAGACTCAGATTTTTTAAAAAAAAAAACTGTATTATAAAACCCCATTTCTTTATCCCAACCTTTATTTTAGGTTCCTCAGCAACCTCCTAGACTTCAATCTGTTGCAGATAACTTTCTGTGATAGAATTTAGGATTTGATAACAAAAAAAGGCCTATACTGTCAGAAAAATGCATAACAATAATAATTACTTAAATCAGGTAATCAGCCATTTCACTTACAGTAGCAGAGTTGTGAGGTAATTTTTAGCACCTCCATATGGGAGGTGATAACACTTATAAGAAAGGCATGCATGAATGTTTTAAGTTGAATATCCCTTATTTCCAAATGGATACATGAAAGTATTTCTAAGTTTCTCAGTAGGCTTCTAAAAATAAGAGTTTAAAAAAGTCTGAGACGCTGGCTACTATAGTAAACTATATATTTGAGGGCATTTATCTATGGTTTTGAAAGCTATTGGGAAACACTATGCAAGGAACCATAGCAGTTACCTTAAAGCTAAGGCTTCACTGTAACAATGGCCTCCAAAGTTCATACTGTTGGGTTTCAGTAACTTAGAATAACCTGACTATACAAATGTTTATTTATTAATGACTTACTTTAAAAATAAACTATGATGCTGTAATATAAATGAATTCTGAACTGAGTATTTCTGGTCAGTTATTAATATTTTCCAGACAGAGAAAGTCTTTAAACATTTAATGGGCTAGAGACATAGCTTAGGGGTACAGCACTTGCTTAGCATGTGCAAAAGTTCAGTCCCCAGTACGAAAAAATCAGCAACAATAATAACAACAAAACTTTTCTTCTTTATTTTTTGCAGCACTGGGTATCAAACCCAGGGCCTAATGCATACTAGGCAGGCACTTTACAAGCTTTATCTCCAGCCCTTTTTATTTTTAATGAAAAGTATACTTAAGACTCATTATTTTGGCAGATACCCTGTGGCATTTTTCTTAAGCAGGAAAAAAAGCAAATTGTGACAGATTGATTATGCAGAAATAATGTATTATGTCAAATATCACATCTAATGGCCAAAAGGATTTTGTCAAAGAGACATTCTCTATGTCATATGACAATACCTATGTCATATGTAATATAGAAACTTAGAAATACTTCCATGTATCCATTTGGAAGTAAGGGATATTCAACTTAAAACATTCATGCAGGCCTTTCTTATAGGTGTTTATCACCTCCCATATGGAGGTGCTAAAAATTATCTCTCAACTCTGCTACGGTAAGTGAAATGGCTGATTACTTGATTTAAGTAATTATTATTGTTATGCATTTTTCTGACAGTATAGGCCTTTTTTTTGTTATCAAATCCTAAATTCTATCATAGAAAGTTATCTGCAACAGATTGAAGTCTGGGAGGTTGCTGAGGAACCTGAAATAAGGTTGGGATAAAGAAATGGGGTTTTACATTAATACAGTTTTTTTTTTTTAAATGTGAGTCTTCTTTTGAAAATTATAATCACCCATTATTTTGAAAATTAGAGTATTATGCAAGAAAGTATATTAGTGTGTTTTGATGACATGAACAAAATGGGGTTTGAGTCAGAAAAGCAGATGCTAGTTTTATTCTGTCACCATATAGACAGGAGACTATAGCCAGGTGAATGAGCCTCAATTCTCTTTTATGTGGAACTGGGAAATTATACATGTTCATTTAACTTACACAATTATCAAAAATTTTTATATTAAGATGACCTGAAACCTACTAATCAATATCAAGTAAATATAGCATGCTGCATGCATAAAAGGTACCTTAAAGTCAATTCCTCCTACAAAGATGCGATTAGGGATCACAGTTCCATATCTTGGGGCACTTGTTGGGTTATTCAGAGGCACAGGTGACACAGGATTAGGGGATGGAGATAATGAATCTGTTTGCGTCTGATTTGATGTTTGCTGTAAAATAAAATTCTTTTAAACTTTTAGCACTAGATATATGTTTCAATGCAGATTGTAAACATTTTTCAAAAGATGTCATTTAGGCAAAATGTAGTATTTTACATTTCACTTTTATTCTAATATTATGAAGATTATAATTAAGAGGTAATAGCTTTTAGGGCCAACAAATAATAAAGAAAACTAAGAATCTACTACAGACAAGTTCTTAACGATTAAATATGCTATTTAAATATACTTTCTAGTAATTATCATTAAATACATTATTTAATTATCAAGGAAGACTAGTAAACTCTTAAAGAAGTTAAAGAAAGAAAAAAGCAGCCCTAGACAGATGGTAGCTGGCCTGGCACTAACTGCTAGGCTATGGTGTGTTATATTATTAATGGAACACCAACATCATAGATCACTCTATCTGATGTATCAAGATAAAAACTAGACCACTCCATAATCAGGACTGTACACTGACAAAACAAAAGCATTTCCAAAATCAGAAGAATGACCAAACATCCCTCTATCCTAGCTGATTTGAGTGATTATTCCTTGTTTATCAATCATAGCCTGAGCCTTGGTTTTTTAGATAAGAATTAACATATTCAATCATAGAAATACCCTCACTTCTTGACAACTTGCACTCAAAGATAGAGTCCTTCTTCTTGAACCCCTAAAAACTGCCCACTGAGCGCTCCCATGCTGTACTTTCTTCCTTCTTCCAATGAGTTAATAGATCCAACTTTATTAAATTATAGGTGTATTCCTGGTGGTCTTTGGCTAAAGGGCCTTGAGAAGTTAATAAACTCTGACATTCAAGTTCACCATTTTCAGCCTGAAAAATCAAAAATTTAAATGTACTTGTGTATTAGAAGATTGAACTGATTTTGTTAAAAACAAAGAGGAAATTACATACTTATAATTCATGGGGTTAATGAATACCAAGGAATTAATCTTAGTACATATGCATATTTTCACAATTCTAAGTTAGAGGACCTAATTTAAATTTAATAGATACACATCAATGTATGAGGCTTTGCACAGTGGTAAGCTAATAGACTTGTATGGTACAACTGAAAAAAAATGACTTGAGAATATAATTTTGAAGAAAATCTTATTAAAAACTTGCTAATTATTTTCCATTTAGGAATAGTCTAACATACTAAATGAGTGCTTCAAAAAGACTGAAGTTTATAATTCCAATTCTCTGAGAAACAAATACATGAAAACAAATTTCCAACTTAGGGAGTAGATTTTTTCTTTTTCACTTCATTGACCAATAAAAACCATAATCCCTAAATTAATTTCTGCAAGATGTAGAGAGAAGTAATTAAGCCAGTGTGGCTAGTGGGCTATAGGGTAAACCTTAAGGACCCATCTTTCCCATTCAGTCTTAAAGAGGAAAAAGATATAATCCCTGAGTTCATAAACACCTTTTAAAACAAACAACAGACTGCATTACATTTAACAATTACTATGTTTAATTTCAATGGGAATGCAATCTTAGCTTCCTCTCTGAGCAGTTGGAGGTTATTTATAATATTAGTCACTTTACTCAGTAGGATATAGTATTCAGAATGGATGATTTTGTGATGCATAATTTTACTTTTCCCAGACAACCTAACAGTTATAGTAGATAAAACCTTGTCTCTCAACCGATTTGTTTACAGTGTAGAAATTACTTATTTATTAAATTAAAAAAAATCAGTTTTCACAAAATTCTCTTCCTAAAAACAAAGAGTTCAATGGGAGAATCATTTGTTTACAAGTTTAAGTAAATAAAACTTCATTATTTTTCAGATACAGGAATGAAATGAACAAAAATGAACAGACTTCCTTATTTCTGATCTTAAGAAACAAAAGCATACTCATTGAGGAAAGAAAAACATTAACTTTTTACAACTCAATTCATTTCATTCTCCAGTCTCTAAGGCTCCATGCGTTCCAACTGCCTATTTTTTCTTCTTACCACTGAACATTTTCTAACACACCAAATAATTTACTTATTAATTTTATTGTCTCTTGCCACCGTAATGTAATATTCACGAGGACAGGGGGCCTGTATTTTTCTTTTCTCTTCTGGGCAGCATCGAAAATAGTGACATTACATAGCAGGAGAGATCTGCTGGCGATACGTAGATCTCATTTGGATGAGAGCTAAAGAATACGAATAACATCCTAGAAAATATTTTAATCTTAGCAGTAACAAGGTTCAGGTAGAGGCAACGTCTAAATTCTTCTGGGATTAGCAATGAATTAAACAACAAAGCCTCGAATTCCGCTGGCAACAATTTTGCAAGTGTATGAAAGCAGCCAAGAGAGGCTGCTATTGAGTTAGACGAGAAGGTCCCCGCTTCGTAAATCTCCTAGCCCTAAAGGGTTTATTAAAATTCTCCAAAGTTATGTGCCCTCACTGCCTTCTGGCCTTGAGAATTAACCTTGAAATCTATCACCTCCTCTGCACAGACAAGAGGAAGAGGGCGGGCTAACCGTCGCAATCACGGCCTCGGTGCTCCTTCCCCTCCGAGGCCAGCAGGTGGAGGCGCTGGGGGACAGGGCCGCAGCGACAACTTCCTCGGGTTCTCTCAGGTCATCGTGGACTTGGGTACTGCCACGAGGATCCACCCCCTCCCCACCAAAGTGCGGGAGGGAAAAGAAGGCTAACCAGCGAGAAATTTTGCCGGGCAAACCCGCCAGCAACAGTGGCGGGAACCCTCAACGGTACCGACACCGCCGCCGGCCTCGTGTGTAGCAGGCCTCGGCCCTCACGCGGTGCGTGCTGATTGGCTGCCAGCTGGGCGCGGGGCGGGGCGCGGCGGCACGTTACCGCTGCCCTTCAGGCCTGAGGGAGGTCCGCCGGGCTCCCAGCCTGTCGCCTCGCGTCTCCCGCCCGGCTTCCCGAGTCTGACAGGGCCAGGACGTGCACCCCATGCCAGACTTCCTGGTTCAACCTGGGCCATTGCATCCTCCCAGGTCTCTCGGGATTTACAGGCCCCACTGACCAGTCAGGGAGTGTAGGCGTCACTGCCTGGCAGCTCCTTCAAGCCGTGGGCGGCTAGGCGGAGTCCCGCAGAAGCGAGCGTCAAAGGCGCAGCCCAGCGCAGTTTCGGCGGGAAAGTGTTTTTAATCTGCCGAGACTCCGCCAGGTGCATACAGGTCTCAGCCACTCGCGGCCTCCCTTCCATTTCTGAGGCTCCCCCAGTTGGCGTGCCCGCCCGCACCCAGCCCAGGCCCTGTGGACCCTCGCCACCACCCCACAGGGCCTGCAGGCGGGCGGCTCTTCGCAGCACTCAGTGGGGCGCCCGGGCCATGTTTCTTCCCAAACAGCGAGCGTTTATGCTCTCAAGTGCGCCCCTCCAGGCCCTCAGATACGGGGCCCCTGGGGCTCCTTTTCCCGCCATCAGGGCCCCGGCCGGTCGCCGTACTCACCGCCCCGGACTCGGTCTCCATCTTCCCCTTCGCTCTTCAAAGACGGGCTAAAGGCGTAGAAACCTAAAATTTGAAGGCACCTTCACACCAAGGAAGCCACGCCACGTTTTCCCTCTGGGACTCTCCCCCTGGCGGCGACGACGGCAGTGGCAGATGTAGGGGCGCAGGCTCGGACCCGGGGCCAGAACCTGCCACCTGGGGGGGGGGGATGGGGAGGGGCTGGCGGCGTCGCCTCCGGCAGCAGGCCTCAGTGCGGGCGGGCGCTGCAAGCCCGGGAGGGGCGCGGGCGGGCGGACGGGTATCGGCGAGGTCTCCGAGGCGGCACCACTCAGGGGCAGGGCGCGCAACAAGTTGAGGCGGGAGTGGGGTATGCGGATCGAGGGCTCGGTTATGGAACCGCTCTCGTTGGCTTTCGGAAGGTTGGGGAAGAGAGAGCGAACGGTAATGCAAAGCTCCATGCACCGCACGCTTTTCACTGTCCTCCACTGGTGCGTTTTGAGAGGTTGAGGTGACTTCAAGGCTTTATTAAGGCGCAAGAAGCCAGAAGGGGAGACTTCCGAAGGCTGGTGCGAGGCGAGGGAGACAACTTTTCAGAATCAAACTCTGACCCCCGAGCCTGACGCGCCAAACTCGGGGACTCCGGAGAAGTCGCAGACGCCACGCTGCACCTGTTGTCGCCGTCACTCATCCCCGCCGGGCGGGCGGGGCGGCGCGGGCGGCTTGGTTGGGACCTGCCGCGCAGCCGGGTCCAGGCTAGGGCGCCAGTCCCGGGCCCGCGCCCAGCCGCTTCCTTGGGCCGCTACTGAGCTCAGCGCCGCGGAGCAGTGGCGTCCTCGGGAGCGGGTCCGTGACGAAGCCACGCGCGTGAGTTGCAGCCCTGCAGCAGAGGCTCCAACCTCCCGTGGCGTTGGGATTTCCTTTGAAAGACGGCTTTGCAAAGAATATTTCTAAAAGGTAGCTGAGATTATATGTATCTTCAAGTGGCAAATTATTAGATAAATTTATGTAATAAGGGTTCTCAATTATTACAACCGATCATCAAGAAATTTGTTTAAGGCTTAATGCTTTAAATCACTTCATTCCCACAGCAACCCGCCAGACAGATAGATACACCCATTATAATATTACAGGTGAGTAAACAGAGACCTGGAGGGTGAGTAATTTGGTAAAGGTCTAAATCTATAGGAGATTTAACCCTGGGTCTGTAACCCTGCTCTTGATCTTAATGGTTTTGCCACGTTTAAAGCATCAGCAGAAACATAAACATCTGTTTAAAAGTAGTATAAATGGTAACTTTGGCAATCTCTATTGTAAAGTTAGACTTCGTGTTGTTTTATTTTCAAGATGGGTTAAAAATTCATATTATTTACCCAAAATAAAATGGGAAACAATTTTTGTTCATTTTAGATGAAGCAACCTAAAACTTGTGATATATATATATATATATATATATATATATATATATATATATATAAACTCATTTTTCTCAGGTTTTAGTTTCTGTGGAAACAATATAGAAACATCAGATAAAATTTCATTCTGGAGCATAATAAATTTACTGTTCAGTACAATTAGGTGTTCTTTGGACATTTTTTCTAGTTTTAATAATGATGGATTTGAGCAGATATTACTATAGGAATTTATGTTGAGGTCTTTATTTTCTGACTAAAAACACTTATTTTTCAAGACTGCATCCTTTAAAAATAATGTATTCACCATAGTAGGTGTTTAGTCTGATGCAAATTAACAAAATTCAGGGAACAATGAGTGTATTCCATGACCTCCTTGGGTGTTAGGGGGATATATTGTATGACAGTATGCTAATTTTCTGTTCTACCCCCCCTCCTCCTTTTTTTTGATACTGAGGATTGAACCCAGGGTGCTTAACCACTGAGCCACATCCCCAGCCCTTTTTTGTGTTTTATTTAGAGACAGAGTCCTGCTGAGTTGCTAAGGGCCTTGCAAAATTGCTGAGGCTGGTTTTGAACTCTGGATCCTCCTTCCTCAGCCTCCCAGGCCACTGAGGTTACAAGCATGTGCCACTGCACCCAGCTTCTGCCTACCTTTAAATTCTTACACCAAAAGGAAGCTCTGATTTAAAAATTGGATAAACCACATAAAATTTTACAACTCAATCCAATTTAGTAGACATCTATAGAACTGTTATTTTGCTCAGTACATAGTGGAATATACTATGGGAGACAGGAAATGAAGATCAAACTCTGTTCTCAAGGCATTTTAAATATAGAAGGGCCAGGCTTGATGGTAGATGTCTCTAGTCCCAGTTGCTCAGGAGATTGAGGCAGGAAGATCACTTGATACTGTGAGTTCAAGGGTAGCCTGGGTAACATGGTGAGACCTTGTCTTGGGAAAAAAAAAAGATGAGGGGAGAAAAGACTTCTCAAAATAGTAATTATATCTGAATATGCATATAATAAATAGAATACAATCAGAATAAAATTAATGATATATAAACTATGGTTGGAGGAATCTGGGCCCACAGAGGAAGGTATCTTGGTGCATTGTGGCCAATGCTGGGTAAGAGCACTATCAAAGTTTTTCTGGTGTAAGCAGAAAAACTGGAGGAAAGGTATTAAGATTCTATTGTGTAACACTGTGTTAGACTCATTCTTTTAAATCTTCTTTTTCTCTCTTTCATTATCTATACTTTTTTCTTACTTGAAATTTGAAACTTTGAGAGGTAAAAGTGACCCTTACCACATTAATAGTGACCGTTGGATACAGTTTTCAAAACTTCATTCTGTTTAACTCCAGTTCTCACTCACAGTGTACTCTGTTGTTACTTACACTATGGCAATAAGGAGTTTGTTCTGGAGACCTTTGCAAATTAGGGTCATTAGATTACTGAACTATAAAGTTATGTAATCAGAGCCAAAATTTAGGAAGATAGATCAGAAGAGGTTTTGAGGGATAGCAGGGGAAACACTTGAATTAGGAGAAGAAAATGGCTCAAGTGCTTTCAACAGAGGTGACAGGAGTGAGAATAAAATGCTCAAAGGGTTAAGGAGATACCAGTGAGGACTGAGGCTATTGGTCATGGGTAATGATGGAGAGTTATTGGTAAGGATCATTTAGAAGCCTCAGTTTTAGATATTGGAGATGCCATTTACAAAGGTAATATAAACAAGTGGCAAGCCTAAACATCTCATTTCTGCTAGTATCCCAGTGATTCTCATCTTTTATCCTTTAGTGTATTCAGAGGATAGTTTTGTGTCTTAGTTTATTTTCTGGTCCCAGTAACTGAGCACAACAGATTGGGTAAATTTGTAAAGAAAAGGGATTTCTTTTGGCTAATGGCTCTGGAGGTCCAAGGTTGAGGGGCCACATATGGTGAATGCCATCTTGCTGGTAGAGTCTTGAGATGGTGTGAGACATTCCATGGCAAGAGGCATAGAGTGAAGGTGTGTGTCTCTTCTGACACTCTCCCTCTTTGTGTAGAGCCATCCATATTAAATCATGTGGGTCGACTTCATCTAATTCTAATTGCCTCCCAAAGGCCCTTCCTCTAAATACCATGGTTGGATTAAGTTTCCACTCTTAATAGCTCACAATGGGGATTCATTTTCAACACATACATTTATGGGGGACAACCTCAAACCATATCCAAACCATAACCCTTTTTATATCCCCCCCCAAGATTTACCCAAACCTGTCCTCCTTTTTTGCTTATCTTCTCTTGCTGACAGTTTCCCCTCTTCTTGCTTCCTGAGTTTTCTAGCTTCAGATTCTAATGACTAATCTACTTTAAGTTCTCTTTTTCTTGATAACCATTTTGATGTGCTTCCTAGCTTATAAAACTAGATAACCCCTGAATAGGTCTTTTGGGCCAATCTGTGTGCTGTGGCATGGAATATAGCAATGATTAAGGTCTTGTTCTTGTTTGGGTAGCAAGTTCTGGTAGCAGCCTGTGATCTAGTGGGAGAAGCAGCTAGTGGAAGAAAGTTTATATACTTACTGTCCAAAGCACAGAAGAAGTTGCCAGGTACAGAGACAGGCCAGACCAGGGAGTGGTTTAACTTGGTAGATAAAACAACACAAAAAGGCAAGTTTAGAAGATGCCTCGGCTTCTATTTTATTTATTTCTTGTTCCCAGGTCTGTTAACCAATTGCTTCATTTGGGGGGAATTTCTAGGGGTTTTCTTTTTCTCTGCAATGGTTGAATGTTTGAAACAGGAGAGATGAGAGATAATATTTAAAAAATATGCCTTAAGGAGGCAAAAAGTTCAGCTCAGATCTCTTTTCCTCTATACTTAGACTTGGAGAGGATGTTGTAGAAATGGCCTACACTAGAGCAATATCTCATTTGTTGGACATTTTCCTATAAAATTAATTTACTTGTATATTTATACTGTTTACCATGAACAACTACTAAAACACAGGCTATATGATATAGAACCTGTTGCGTAGTCTAAGGTAGGAACTCAATAAATATTTGTAGAATAAATGAACAGCTAACCCTCATCCCACCCTGCACTTTATCCTACCCCTACCATTTGACTCTTTAAACACTTGTATCATTTATCAGTAAACTGAGTAAAGTGGAGTCAGATATCTACTTTCTTATCTGTAACTCCCAGAAGTTAACTAAAGGTATATTTAATTATAAAGGAAAGTTTTTGTTGTGAGGTTTATAAGAGGTGGCTTTTTTATAAAGTAAAACCTGTGAGAACTTCAGAGAGTCCAGGTATGGCTAGACCATAGCTGTCCTTCTAGACCACTATAATATTCTTTTCAACTGAGGGTGAAGAACAGTTAATCATTGCCAGAGAGCCTTTTCTTTGTTTTTTCCCCAATTAATGTGTAAATCTTTAATTTTAATTGATTTCTCCAGATTGATGCTCTCTTAGTGGTTTATATGAATATAGATTCTTTTTCATTCTTACACTTTGGGAGTTCTCACTCTGAAACTCTGACAGCCTCGTGGTGGGTGAATCTGAAAAACTCACTGGTTACTTAGTGCTCTAACCACTCTGATGTTCAGTATTTCTTTTTTTTTTAATTGGTAAATAATAATTTTATATATTTGTGGTATACAATGTGATGTTTTGATATGTGTATATATTCTGAAATTATTAAATCAAGCAAATTAACATATCTATCACTTCTATGTATATGTGTGTATATATACATATACATACACATATATACATATATACATACATACAGATATATATTTATTTTGTGGTGA